TAGACCAGGCTGGTAGGTCAGGATTTTTTAAAGCTTTTGTTGCTATTTTTCCTAAATAGTACATTTAAATTGTTTTAGGATTTTTATGAAACATAGCATAGTAGGCAAACTAGAGAATCAGTCCTGGTTCTCATTCTGAGTAACTGTGTGGTTTAGCAGATTATTAACTGTTTGAAGGTTCATTTTATTCTGTACAAGGGGACGTATCACTGACTTTAGAGGCTTTAGCATAGTGGTTATTGGTACATAGGAAGAAATGTTGAAATGTTAGTTCTGAGCTATGATGGGATTGCCTTAAAGTGTTTTAATGAACGAACCTAAAATAATATTTCTGAACCTTTTTAGATCTTAGTCTTATAGACAAAGAATCAGATGATGTCTTAGAAAGAATCATGGATGAGAAAACTGCAAGTGAGTTGAAGATTTTGTATGGTCACAGTGGGCCTGTCTATGGAGCCAGCTTCAGTCCGGATAGGTAAAATACAAACAAAATTAAATACTGATAAACAGTATTGAGATTTAAAAGTTAACTGCTGGAAATAAAATGCATATGCGTAGACACTTTTTAGAAAAACATCATGATTGCCTGTAGTTCAGTATCTTTTAGAATCTTACATTTCTAATTTATCTTGGAGTACTGGTATATAAAATAGCAACTAAGTATATGCTAAATTTACAGGATCAAGGTGCACATTCAGGGCTCACTGGTTTCAAAATTTAGCTTTATCTTTGAACAACCCTCTAATAGAGGTTGAATTCCTTGAGTTCTTGGTTGTTCTTGTGGCACTTTGTAAAATTTAACACAAATTCCGTATACTAATGGCATTAATAGCTGTCTACTGAAGCATTAGCAGGCTATAATGGAAAGAATGAAGAAGGCTGGGCATGGTGGTAAGTGCCTGTAATCCCAGCTACTCGGGAGGCTAAGGCGAGGGGATTGTGGTTGAGATCATGTTCTGAAATAATAGCACCATATGTGTTTAGCTATTTTTTGATTTTAATTTATAACTTTCTGCAAAAATGACTGGAAGAGGGAATTTTCACCCATATTATCATTTGTATTCTACTTGAATAGTAGTTTTCAACCACCAGAGTTTTAACTGTATTTGTGAGATCTTGGGATTAAAAAATATATATATTTAATAGTGATTTAACCAGATTGTACATTTTACTTGAAGAAATGTCTGATTTCAGTGAAAACAGTTGACTTTTTGTATTTATCCCTGGAAAAAGTAGAACATTATCATTTTGCATGGGAGTAGAGTCTGGTTGAATGGTAGACTTTAGAACTCTGCTACTCAGCTACATTCCACTCCTTTTCTTTTTTTAAAATATAGCCCATGTGGATAGGAAATAATATCCACAAATTGACATTCGTTTTTTTTGGCTGTCTTGGTAAACATACTTTTTATTATTCTGAATATTATTATTATTTTGGTGTTTTGAAATGGAGTCTCATGCTGTATTCCAGACTTGCCTTGAATTTGCGGCAAGCCTCCTGCCTCAATCTCCCAAATTCTGAGATCACTCATGAGTTACCAGACTATTTACTATTTTTTTCTAAAGTACTGTGACCCCCTCCCCATAATCACTATATATTTTTAATAATTAGCTTTATATAGTTGATGTTCAGAATATAGTATGACAGTATTTCATTTTAACATTAGTTTAATAATTTTAGCTTTTGGTTCTAAGTATAAATAAAGAGGTGGGGATGAGATGGCTCAGTGGGTGGTAAAGTGCTTGTCATGCAAGTGTGAAGACCAAACTTTGGATCCCCAGCACCTACAATGCTGGACTGGCATGGCAGCCCTCCTGTAATCTCAGTATTCTGGAGTTGGAGATGGGATCTCTGGAGAAAACTTGACAAGCTCTGGGTTCATTTGGGAGATTGCTCAAGGAAGACACCTGAACATGCCATGTATACCTCATACCGCACACACAGGTGAGGGGCTCAGTGGTAGATTTCCTGCCTGTCGTGTGCAAGGCCTGAGGTTCAGTCCTCAGCACTATCTGCGCATTTCCACATGTATGTGCACACACTGAGATATACCTAGGCCTATGTCATTTGCTGAAACATGAGAATGGGAAGAAACAGGTAACCAGATTATTCTGGAAATCAAACATATCACCTCCTCTCCTCAGGAACTATCTGCTCTCCTCTTCAGAGGATGGAACTGTTAGACTCTGGAGCCTTCAGACGTTTACTTGCTTGGTGGGATATAAAGGACACAACTACCCAGTATGGGACACACAGTTTTCTCCATATGGATATTATTTTGTGTCAGGAGGCCATGACCGAGTAGCTCGGTAAGAACACTATGATCCTCATGGGTTTATTCACTGAACATAACTGATTCTTGTTGCGAATACAAAGTCCAGCAAACATCATATTCATGCTATCAGGGCTGACTTTTTGAGAAGATAAGCATTTATTGCCGTAGTTTGAAATGAATGTGAGGAAGAATATTACTGTCTTTCATTATGTGTACACTAAGGGTCCTGCTTTAATGTAATTTATAACGTTCCCCACGTCAGATGTGTCTTGTTTCCCATTCTCACTATGAGCACCTTTTGTCTCCTGTTATTGTAAAGTTTCCATTGGCAAAATTCTTCCTAGAAACCATGTAGTTACCCAAACTACAGGAAAATGGTTTTCTGTGCATTAGGAGTGGGAAGCAGTGCGTATACAAAGAATCATAGAATTTACATGCTGGCTGGAGAGATGGCTCAGAGGTTGTTGCCCTAGAGGACCCAGGTTCAATGCCCAACACTCAAATGGCAGCCAAGAACTGTCTGTCACTCCAGTTTTAGGGGATTCAACACCCTCACACAGTCATGCATGTAGGCAAAACACCAATGCACATAAAATAATATTATATAAACTGGGTGGTGGTGGTAGAGTCCTTTAATCCCAGCACTTGGGAGGCAGAGGCAGAGCTTAGTCTATAGAGTGAATTCTAGGACAGCCAGAGCTACACAGAGAACACCTTGTTTCTAAAAGCCAAAAATAAATAAAAGGAATTTCCATGCCCATAATCCCAGCACTCTAGAACAGGACATGGTGGCATATACCTTTAGTCCTAGCACTTGGAAGATTAAGGTAGGGGCCTAGTTTAAGGCCACCCTGATCTGCAGATATCTTGAGTTCCAGAACAGCCAAGGCTACATAGTGAGACCTGTCTCAAACTAGGCCCAATCTTCTGTTGTCTTTCCTTAAGATGGCAAGGAGGTGCCATTGAGAATTGACTTTCATCTGGATGTACCAATTTTTTGGGTTAAATTTTATTTCAATTAATTACTATTTATTTTTCGTTAATTTCAAAAAGGCTTTGGGCTACAGATCACTATCAGCCTTTAAGGATATTTGCTGGACATCTTGCTGATGTGAACTGCACTAGATTTCATCCAAATTCGAACTATGTTGCTACGGGCTCTGCAGACAGAACTGTGCGGCTCTGGGATGTGCTCAATGGTAACTGTGTCAGGATCTTCACTGGACACAAGGTATTTCACACCTCCTTATTCCAGCACACACAGATCCTTTTAAAGCCAAAATACTAACTAGCAGCATGCACGCTTTAAAGATAGTATCCATGCCACTAAACTACAGTTCTGTCTTGGCCTTATCAGATATAATTAACCTTATTTTGCTCTTTTCTAGGGACCAATTCATTCCTTGACATTTTCTCCCAATGGGAGATTCCTGGCTACAGGAGCAACAGATGGCAGAGTACTTCTTTGGGATATTGGACATGGCTTGATGGTTGGAGAATTAAAAGGCCACACCGATACAGTGTGTTCACTTAGGTTTAGTAGAGATGGTGAAATTTTGGCATCAGGTAAATTATTTTAATGGCTTTGGGGTAAAGGTTTAGTTTTCATAAAAACAAACAAGGCAAATACAGAGTATACATGGGAAAATGTCAGACTCTAGATGTGATGGATACTAATATTTTCTTTGGTTTTCTTTTAGGTTCAATGGATAATACAGTCCGGTTATGGGATGCCATTAAAGCATTTGAAGATTTAGAGACTGATGACTTTACTACCGCCACTGGGCATATAAACCTACCTGAGAATTCCCAGGAGTTATTATTGGGTACATATATGACCAAATCAACACCAGTTGTACACCTACATTTTACTCGAAGAAACTTGGTTCTAGCTGCAGGAGCTTACAGTCCGCAATAAACCAGCGGTATTAGAGACTTTTTTGGAAGCTACTGTTTGGAAAAGGGAGACTAAAAAGCAAATACCTCAGTGATTAGTATTTAAGCTACAAAGAATGTTTTTGTCTACATGGATCTGGGAGTATGCTGCTTGGAAAATCTGAACAGGACAGTTCCACGTTTCTCTAGCAACCACATTGAACTAATTTCCGTTAGTTGAATGAGAGGTATTATGTTCATGGAGGGGACATTTATGGTGCTTTGGATTGTGTGGAAACTATGCATTTTTCTGTTCAAATGCTATTTAATTTATTATGTTTAGAAAGGAAGTCAATTTGATTTAAACAATTTATTCTGCTTCAAGATTCAAACTAAGAAATACAGTACCATCTTGAGTAGCTGAAGAGCTCTATGAACATGTGTGTGTCTGCTGTAAAATGAAGTTTCTGTACGGCACGCAAGCACTATGGCAAACGACCCACTAACATGCTTTCCTTCACCATGATGTATGTAACTGGGTAGGAACTACAGTTCCTAAGATCTAGTAGTACCAACCAGCCACTGACATCTCAATTGCTACCTTTTAAGTTCTGAGTGCAGTCACTCTACAGACCAGGTGAAGAGATCTAGATCCCATACTCTACTTCAACTGACATGGCTACATACGACCTAGTACACTTGAAGTCAGACATTTCAGTTGCTTACCTCCAGTACTGAGCCTTGCTTTGGAAAACTAAGAGATTTAGACCAAGTCACTGCCAGTTTTTGCTTTTGTTGCATTTTGTACAGTTTTATATTTTTGATATCTTGTAAATAAAGACAACCAGCTTTTCCAGGTTCATAATTTATTGTACAAATTGAGTATCACATGATGAGTTGACATCAGCTTCTTCAGGCATGGAACTTAACAGATGAGGTCAGACATCGAAAGACCCTACAAAACAGCAAAAACAGTTTGATACAAATGTGACGATCAGTAATTATCACAACCCCCCAAGATAAAATACAAATTCATCAGATTCTTAATAGTCAGTAGGACAGACATATAAATAGGTAAGATACAGTGTCCACTACTTTGTTTTCAAGATAGTTTTTTGTTTTTTAAGATAGGGTTTCTCTGTTTAACAGTCCTGGCTGTCCTGGAACTAGTTCTTGTAGACCAGGTTGGCCTCGAACTCAGAGATCCACCAACCTCTGCCTCCTGAGGGCTGGGATTCAAGGCATGTGCCAACACTGCTCGGTTCAAGATAAAGTTTTCATGGAGATATATTACCCTTCCAAAGTCAGAAGTAATTTCATGCAGAAAACTGGGCAAAGTACCCAAAAAGGAATAAGAATGTACTGGACTACATAGACCCCTACTTTTAACAGACTTGGGTAAAGCTTTTAAGAGCAGAACAAAAAGAAGGGAAGAAAGCATTCGACAGAGTTCTAGCCTTCTGGCTTTCTGCACAGATGTTGCTAACACCACATTTACTGACTTCTGGATAGGTAAAAGGGATTGAAGGGGACTGTAAGAACCTTAAAGGGTTTTTTTCAGGGGGACATTCCAGTATTCTATGAAAATATAAAGCTACCAGAACCCAGCAAATACTTGCAACTTCATATACTGAAGGTTAGGGTTGGGACTGTCACTAGGCAGAGCGGCAGCCTAGCACCTGCCAAGGCCCCGGGTTTGATCCCCAGTACCACAAGTTTCATGTGTGTTTCTGTATGAGAGTCCAGAAAAGGGTTTTAGATGCCTGGAGTTAGTTTTGAGCTACCTGGCATGGGTGCTGGGATCTGAACTCGAGTCCTCTATTCTTACAGTACTTGATCTTAACCACTGAGCCACTGTCCAGGCTCTGGTTAATCCCGCCTCTGCCCCAGGCATGGTGGCCCAAGCCTGTAATTTCAAAACTCAGCCAGTTGAGGAGGAATTGCTACAATTGTGAAACCATTTGGGCTATAAACAAGACTGTCTCAATACCTAAATAGACAAAACCCGACCAAATTACATAAGCTTATAGTTGAGCTGAGGGGTATATGAAGACTTGAGTTTGATCCCAAGAATTTATTTAAAAAGAAAAAAAAAAAGCCAGATGCAGTGGCACATTTGTAATTCTAGCTCTCTTCTGAAGACGGGGGAGGACAGGATAGCTAGCTGGGAATGCACAGTGCAGCATGACGGCAGAAATGAGACCTGTCTCAACAAGGGGGAGCGAGCCAACTCCCCAGAGTTGTTCATATATTTCCACACCAGTGTCATGGCATGTGAGTGTGCAAATAAATAAGCTCCCAAAAATAAAATATAGAAGTCATCTAACTGCATTAAGAGACAAACGGTGAGAGAGAAAAGTACTTCAACAAAGCCCAAAAGACAATTTTTCTTAAACATGCCAGTTTAGGAAAAACCACAGTCTATACCAGCTGACATAAAAGACATATCCTCTTACAAAGCTAGGTGTTCCATAATCGTCTGGGAAAGCATTTAAGCCTGAATAAACACCATTTTGTTGTATACCTTTCTCTGGTCTTTTTTTTTTTTGAGTCAAAGCAGACTCAAACTCACAAGACCATCCTGCTGTGCCACCCTCCCCAGTGCAGCAGGGATTACAGGTATGAGACGTTACACCCAACTCCTTGTTCTCTCTCTCAGTTGTGTTGAGACCATGTCTTGCTGTTCTTAACATGCAATCCTGCCCCTGTTCCCCCACTGTTGAGCTTACAGGTGTATCATACCCAGTGTTTGCTTTCAGGTACGCAATAAATTTCAGAGTGCCAATAATTTATTTTTTTGTAAGGGAAGAGAAAAACCTTGACAAGAAATGGCTAAGTTACAAACTTTAAAATGGCAATTCCTTACCAGTTATGATGCTTTCACAGCTGGAGTTTTTTTAGGCCTTAACTTGAAGTATAGGACCAACAAGGCAATGCCTCCATATGTGGCCAGAACACACTGAGAAAAAAAAGATGCAAATGAAAGTTATCATATCTCTTTTATTCTAAGATATAAGTGCTTAAAGATGTAATTTATACTTACATTCATTCTACCTGTGAGAGTATAAGAGTTGAAATATTTTTTAATACCAGTGAACTGGAACTGGGCATCACTTTCAGGACCAGCCATGACTTCAATCTTAAAAAAAAAAAAAAAAAGGAACAAAATATTGATTTGAGTGCAATTTATAAGAAAATAAAAATTCAGTTTCAAAACCTATGACATCTCTGTGGTTTAGCTGACACTGCAATAGCAGAGCTGGTGGGAAAAGCCTAGCTAGCAAGGACTGTTACTAGGACCGTCCCCCATTGCTCTTCTAAGTACTCCAGAACAGTTAAGCACTTAGCAGAGAAAGAGAAGATTGTCCTTCAGTGTCTTCTGACTCAGGACAGCTTAATGTTCGCATTCTCTATCCAGCCTGTGTTACATATAGTAAACACTGAATTAGGTCACTTGTAGTGCTTTTCACATCTTCTCAGTGGTAAACAACTGAAGAGAGTAACATTCTCACAGCTTTTCTCACTATAAATCACTCAGGACTTCCACAGGAGACAGACCAGTTGGTGATGATATTGTGTCAGTCAACAGTGGTTTCTGAAGCTGGAACCTACTCCTTATACCCAAACGGATAAAGGAATTGAGTGGAAACAATGGAGCTAAAACCTCTTGAAGAATATTGGCAACTATTTTACTTGTCTTTGCAAAGAGAAGTCTAAAGGAAAGGAAATAAAAAATGGAGAGTCAACCTCACAAGGCAATTAAAATCAGTTTGGTGTGGCACAGGTCTTTAATCCCAGCTCAAGGGAGGCTGAGGCAGGCTGATTTGAGTTGCAGGTTAAACATGCGGCCATGCCCCCCGCCCCCCCCCCAAAAGAAGAAAGGTAAAACTAACTAACTATGAACTTACAATAAGCATTGTTACAACTGGGGTTTAATACTGTGTGGAGCGTAAACTTAAACATTTAAAGTGTCTGTCAAATTATATAATAAATATACCTTCTATCTAGCTGGGTCATTTCTCCTCCAAGAATTTACCTTTCAGAAATATCACAAGGCAGAAATACATGGTTCATAGCTCGTTACCGAACACTGTTTACAAAAGTGGAAAGATGAGAAATTCAACATGAACTGATAAATGACAATTGCTACCAAAGGAAACTGCGTACCATATGGAAGGAGGCCCCAAGTGATACTAAAAATCAACTCTACTTCTGGGTATTTCAGGGCTCATCAATGGCTCTCAAAGTCTGGTCCCTAAAGTAGCAGCATAAAACTCACTGGAAACTTCTTAGAAAGGCAGATCATCGGGCCCTACCACAGACATACTGAATTAGAAACCTGGGTCCAGTTATCTGTCTTGTAAGGCCTCTAGGTAATTTTAATACACACACACGACCTCTAGGTAATTTTAATACGCAATACACATACACCAGAAAAATGTTTAATGCTCAATAATTATATGGGGAAACCCCTGGAGAAAATACAGTCCCCCCCCCCCAGAGTTTCTCTGTGTAGCCCTGGCTGTTCTGGAACTTGCTCTGTAGACCAGGCTGACCTGAACTCACAGAGTCTACCTGAGTCTGCCTCCAGAGTGTTGGGATTAAAGGCATGTGCCACCATCTAGCTTTATTTCTTTTAATGTGAGAAATTACATTAAAAAAAGCAACAACCCACCGGTGAAATGTGGGACAGAGGATCCTTACACAGTGCTGGCACCAATGTGAACTGGTTCAGCCACTGTGCAAGTCAGTGTGGTGAATTCTCAAAAAATTAACAACAGAGCTACCATACAACCCAATTACTCCACTCGGTATATACTTGAAAGACTAAATCAAAGCACTGCAAAGATACTTGCATAACCATGTTTACCGCTAGACTATTCACCAAGCAAAACTGAACTAGCCTGGATGTCTGTCAACAGATGAGCAGACAAAGAATATGTGGTACGTATCTGCTGTGTAATTATTCAGCCATGAGAAAAATGGAAAAAATAACTTTTTCCCTTTCTCTTGTTTTTTTCGAGACATGGTTTCCCTGTGTAATAGCTCTTGCTGTTCTGGAACTTACTTTGTAGACCAGCCTGGCCTTGAACAAACTGAGATCTGCCTGCCTCTGCCTCCCAAGTGCTGGAATTAAAGGCACATGCCACCACCCCACCTGGCCCCAAAAATGAAATTATGACACAAGCAGGAGAAAGGGTACAACAGATTATTGTGTTAAATAAGCCAGACTCGGAACAAATACCCAATATCTTCTCTTGTATAAGGACCCTTGACTTAAATATATATGCATATATGTATGTGTATGTCTGTGTTAAATCACGAAAACAGAAAGGGGACCTTGAAAAAGGAAGAAGAGATTTTAAGGGCGTGAGGAGAGGGAGGAAAAAAGAATGAAGGGAGATGGGGCACTATTTGGCTGTAAGGAGGGGATCATAACGAGTTAGATGGGGTGGAGGAAGGGGACAGTGAGGGAAAAGGATGAAAAATGCAGACACAAATCCAGAAAGCCACAGCAGAATTCAAAACCACTCAAAGTTTTGTATGCATGACTGCCTACCTACCACGACCGAGCCACAGACCCTAATGACAACTTGGAGTAGCTGGTCGAGGTCCAGGCAAGATTGGTAGACTGGCTGGCTGGCTCTAGATGAAATGGAAGTGGGAGAGAACAGTAAGGGTAATGTTGCGACGGAAACTGGCATCCCCTTTGTTTACCATTCAAAGGGCTTCAGAAGCATTCATACTCAAAGATCTTGCAACAAATTCCAGACCTTAATTTTGAACATTTTCAAAATGGTTACTGGAACAGTGAAGGAAATCTAAACTTCTTTGGGTCCCTTTCACAGACCTTGGCCAATCTAGCCAAAGCAGGAAATCACCATTAAACAAACAACTTCATAGTTTGTCAAGTTTCCCTTTCCTAAACTACGAAAGCACATGTTTTCCATGCACTTCATGATGCTTCTTAAAGAGCTATGAAGTGGGTTCTCACGAGAAACCTTACAGAAACTCACTGACTGCTATGCTAGCATGGTACAGTGCAGGGTGGGCCAGCGCTGACAGCCTCAGCGTCATTCTACAAGACACTGGAACAAGGATGAATGTAGTCAAAGACAACAAAGACATGGTATAGGAACTGGGGTCTTAAAGAATCTTAGATGGAAGAAGAATAGTCATGCTGATTGTGAGATAAACAATGGTATTATCATTTGGCTTTTCAAGACAGGATTTCTTTGTGTAGCCTTGGCTGTCCTGGAGCTCGCTCTTTAGATCAGGCTGGCCTTGAATTTACAGAGATCTGCCCACCTCTGCCTCTTGAGTGCTGGGATTAAAGGCATGCGCCACCTTCAGCAAACAATTGTCATATTAAGGCTTAAAGCATTACAGGTCTACACCTTCCAACGAACTGAATATTGTTTTGGGGTAATGACCAGGAACCTTTTTGTTAATACTGCCCTTTATGGGATTTTTTTTTTTATTTTTTAAAAGACAGGGTCTCAATATGCAAAGCCAGATGGTTTGGAACTCACAGCATACACCAGGATGGCCTTGAACTCAGTGATCTGCCTGATAGTTTTGGGATTAAAGGCATAAGCCATTTCACACTTGGCAATAGGAATAAATGAACTAAAATGTGTTCTCCTTGAAATCACATGCAAGTCTAGAGCCATACAATAGTGAAAAGATCACCTAAGACTAATACTTGTGAACCTGTGATTTATTAAAGATTTACTATCGTTAAACAGCATTCTGTTAGAAAGTTTAAGCAGATAGATTTTGCTTGTTTTTAAATAACCCAATACTACTCTTAAAAACAACCAGTCTCTCCATGCCCCTCTCCCTGTGAAATGGGTGTTTCATTAAAGGCTTAGGGTGATCAGTTGCCCTTGCTTCGCAATCGGTCCCTGGATATTGCTATTCTCCTGTCTTACAAACACCTATCTGGAGTACCGAGCTGACCAGGTCTAAGTAAAGGAAAGTCGCCTCAAAGGCGCCCAGGGTCTACAAGCAAGAGCTTTTTGTAGAACCTTTCCACTGATTCCTAATACCGCGGCCCTTTAATACAGCTCCTGTTGTGGTGATCCCCAATCATAAAATTAATTTCGTTGCTACTTCATAACTGCCATTTTAACAGTTATGAATCGTAATGTAAAAATTTTTGGAGATAAATATCTGGGAAGGGGGGTCGCGAATCACAAGCTGATTACTTCCGGAACACAGACTTAAATCTAACCCGTTAATCGCGCCCAGGCCTGGAGATTCGCAAGGGCTACTCTTCTTTTACTCTAGTTTTGACAAAGACTGCCGCACAGTTAAGGGAGCTAGCTTCCTGACTGCAGCTCAGAGAAAACAAATAGTTATGGCCATATAGGCCCAAACACAGAATTTAGCCAGAGATGGGGTGAGAAGCCAGAGATCGCTTCCAACACTGTAGGATGACCTTGGGGAGTTACCCTCTCGACGGGTCTCACCCTCCCACTGGGAAATGGAACAGAAGGCTCTCCGCGAACCGTGCGAGCCTTGGGGCGCATGCACCTCGCGGTGCTGAGGCTACCCAGACGCACCGCAGGGCCCCGACCCTCATTTTCTCCAGAGCCATTCCCCGGCCCCTCCCCGCAAAGCGAAGACCTCTCGCTAGTGCGAGACCGGGGAAACGGCCAGGTTCTAGTCGGCCCTGCGAAGCCCAGTCAGCAGCCCGAGCAGCCGACAGCCCCTTCTCACCCACCTTCGCCCAAATCACAAATTCCGCAGCTGATGTCCTTCAACAAACCCAGCCACCAGCACGGACCGACCGGAAGACACCCCCTCCCCCACGCGACGGACTGGCCATGGCGACTAGGCCCTCTGCGTTGATTGGCTATCATAAAAAGTCCCTCCCCCCTACTTCCCGTCTCGGCTCGTGTCTGAATGGTCCTCATAACGGAAGTAGAACGGATCCTGCTGACGTCTTTAGGAGAGCGGCGTGGAGCTGTTGGCGCGGTTTCCTGCGCGTGCGATCGCTTCGAACCGGTCGGTGAGGTAGGCAGTCGCGGGAGCGGCGGGGCTGGAACCCAGGAGCTTCAGCTAGAGGGAGGAGACCTCATGGCTCCCACCTCGGCTTCCTGGCCCGGGTCTCCGGCCTTCCTGCTATGCACCTTTGAGTCGGCATGGGTGGTCTCCCCACCCATGCCCCTTTTTGCCTTAGCGGCTCTTGTAAGCCAGGCTGTCCACTTCAAGTACCCTTAGTGCCTTCTCTGCACGTGATCGCCAGGCTCTTTGGCGCCTCAGTCTCATCGGGTCTAAAATGGGAATTAAGGATTGGATTCCCAGCACAGTGGCCCTATTTCTGTGACGCATGCACCCTGCATTTCTTCTCGGTCGTCACTTCTTTCAGTCTCACGCTGTAACTGAACTTTTATCCCCAGGTATCTCAGAATAAACCAACCTGTCTTGTGTCTTCATTTATATTTTGCCCTGGTTCCCATGGTTGACCTGCTCGGTGTCTCTTCAACCCTTACACGCTGTTTCTAAAACTTGCCTTTGAGTTACTTGCTTTGACTTCGTTCTTTTCCTCTCCAGTCGGTAGAGTGAAGAATGTTGTTTTTCATTATTCTGTCGCTTCCCCCAAGTCTCTGAAGTACCAAGTAAAGACAAGCTACTTATTTTCAATTATCTTCCACGGAAGAGCCCAAGTTGATTTCCAAAATATAACTTGTTATTAAGTGGTTTACTAGAGTGTTCAGTTTTTAAAGAAGCCCTTCAAACAGTTGTTTGATAGGTAAATGACTGGTATGTTTTGGAAAATAGGCTTTTTTCAGTGTCCCCCCCCCCCACATTTTTTACTTATATTACTATTTATTATTATTAGTTATTTTTGATAACTAATTTTTGGTAATTGAGTTAAGCCTGCTTCCCAAGTGCTGACGTTAAAGGCGTGGCCCATCAGACCTGGCTTCCTACTTATTGAACATTCAGCTCAAAAGCATCTTTCTCATGAAGCTTGCCACCTTTACTGAATCTTGTCACTTTTTTGTTTATGCTTTATAATTTGATTTGCATTTTAAATTACTTACATATTGTATTTATATACACACACATGCACAGATGCACACACACCTGACATAATTACAATAATTAATATTGAATGAACATTTACTATATCGAATCCTTTCCTGGAAGATGGTACATAGTGTATAGTTCATGGTTTTGAATCATACAAAGTTGGAAAGACATGGATTAACAAGAACCTGGCATATCAACTTTATATAACATACTCTTAAATCTTGTTTAGTGCCTTGCTGGAAGGTTCTCATGCCATGAATCACATCCTTTATGAAACCTACCCCCAATGCTACTGCTCACCATTATTCTTTTTATCAACTTTAGGAGACCCAGACATGGCAAACCTGGAAGAAAACTTCCCCCGAGGGGGTACAAGAAAAAGCCACAAATCAGAGAAACCTTCCCAGCAGGCAGTTGAACAGGACAACTTATTTGAGGTAAGTGGTGTGCTGCTTTGGTGAGACCTGAAACTTGGTAGCATCTCCGGGATGACCGAGCCTCTCTGGCAGCAGTTATGTTCCAGTTTGTTTCTCTTCGATGTCACTTTTAGAAACTGAACTTGTTAAAGAGTCTCTGCCACCTCAGGCTTCTTTTTGATGCTTAGTGTTTGATGTTGAAATGCTTTTGTGACTTGTCCTTAGGGAGTCTGTGCCAGTTGATTAAGGATGGACAAAAGGGATTTGATACTAAAGTTTTGTTTTGTTTGTGGTTCTTGGGCTCGAACCTAGGACCTTGTGCATGTTAGGCAAGTTGTCTTCTCCTGAGCTCCTTTGCCCCAGTTCTAATCATTGTGCATTTATTTAAAAGGAGTCCTAGTAAGGAAAGCTTACATTAGAATTCAGTCTCATAGAGTGGTTTGTGCTCTTGATGCTGGAGAGAAGGAAAACCACCATTTAGGGGTGTGTGGTCTTAGGTCATCAGTATTATAGAATCTCTCCACATGTATTCTAGAGTAGAAGTCATTGTTCCATGCTGAGAAACTGAGCTGTAGGGGAAGGTATATGTTTTGTTGAAAGCATAAAGCTTGTTGTGGAAAAGCATTGGAGTTTTTCCTGAGCCTCAGGACTCCATTTCCACATGATACGTGGCTTCTCAAGCTAGGGAACCCCAGTGTCCACCCCGCTCACCAGAGGAAGCACGCAGGATAGAAGAGACATTGGGAAGTGAGAGGAGGCTTCTCAGACCCTGGGCAAGGAGAACGTTGACACCTGGATACTAGGCTTGGGACTGCAGCAGAAATGAAGACAATGGGGTGGGAGAGTGGAGTGGCCTGGGGGAGTAAAGTAACAGAGCAAGGTAACAGGCCCCAAACCTGTGGTGACAGCTAAGATTGCTGCGTATCATTCTTCTGCATCCGTGAATCTTTTTCCCTCTTAAGATCTCCACAGAAGAAGAATCCACTAAAAGGAAGAAGAGCCAGAAAGGGCCCATGAAAACAAAAAAACTGAAAACTGAAAAGAGAGAAGCCAAGAAATCTGTGAGAGAGAAATTTGAAATCCTCAGTGTTGAGGTTTGTAATACTTGGTCTTCTCTGTAACGTGCTCCTTGTTTAAGTTTGTGTGCTCTTCCCTCTTTTCCTTTATTCTTTGTATACATACGTGCACACAATTATGTTTTCTGTATGTGTCTGTAGAGACAAGTGCAAATTATGAGAAATGAGCTTAATTTCCTTTACTTATTAACTAATGCCGCCTGGTGTCTTTCTATTTGGTTGGTTTGGGTTTCTTTTGGAGCCTGTCCTAGAACTTGCTTTGTAGACCTGACTGACCTTGAACTCACAGAGATTTGCCTATCCGTCCTTCCGTGGTCCGTGCCCCCCCCCCCCCCCCCCCCCCAGTGCTGGAATCAAAGGTGTGTGCCACCACTGCCTGGCTCTGTTTGGGGGTTTTTTGAGGTAAGGTCTTATGCTGTCTGACCTGTCTATATAGTCAAGGACCTCCATCTCGCACGTACAGGGAGTACTGTGTATAGTCAGCCTGCCTCCCATCTGCCCCCTATCCCTACTCTCTGTCCGTGAGTTTGAGCCTCAGCATCTCATGAACCAGATGTGGTGGTATATGCTTGTAATCCTAGTACTTAGGGACCTGGGTTAGGAAGATCAGAAGCTTAAGGTCATCTGTAACTGTGAGTTCCAGGCTAGTCTGAGATGCACAAGACTCTGTCTCAAGAAGCAAATCATGAAAATGGTTAGATATGTGTGGTTTATATATGCTTGTCTTTTAGTAGAAGTTAGAACTAGAGACCGAATCTCACTATCTAACCCTTGGCTAGCCTTGAATTCATTATGCAGACCAGGCTGACCTCCTACTAATAGAGATCTTCCTGCCTCTGTCAGTTGAACACTAGGATTAAAGGTATGTCAAACCATGCCTGACCTCTGCTCATTCATTGTGTAGATGTGAAATGGCCTCAGATTAATGGTGTGGTCTTACGGTTCTTAAAATTTTATTATTCTCACCTTCATCCTCCAATATATGTTCATTTTAAAATAGGAAAATAGATTATTCTGGGGTAATTCATTAGCCTGCAGAAATTTTTTGTTTTCTATTGTGATATTTTAAGGGCGGTGGTGGCGCACGCCTTTAATCCCAGCACTTGGGAGGCAGAGGCAGGCGGATCTCTGTGAGTTCGAGGCCAGCCTGGTCTACAAGAGCTAGTTCCAGGACAGGCTCCAAAACCACAGAGAAACCCTGTCTCGAAAAAACAAAAAAAAAACAAAAACAAAAAAAAAATTGTTTAACTTGGTGATACTATACTAGAGATTTCATGTAAAAATATGAGGCTGGTGTCATGAAAATTCAAACTCCTGACAAAAGAAAGTCCCCTTTCCCCCATGTTTGAGGACTCTAGAAGCTGTGTCATAGAAGGGATAGGCACACTCCAGGCTGCCATTGCTACAGTGGTCTGTCTCCTTCCCATGCTGTCTTCTAGGTGTTCTGCATGAGGGCTGTTAGGGTATGGTAGAGTGTGCTGGCGGCTCTAGCAGTCCAGCACTGTAGCCCTGTCTGATCAAGACCTTTCCTGGCGTTCAGTGAGATAGCTAGTATGCCAGGATATATACACATGCCTGTGTTTTCCTTTTGTTTATAAAATCCCTCTAGTATTGGTGTTGGGACAAAAAGCCAAAGTCCCCCTAACTGCCGTCATTGTTGTGTGCTTTACTGTATGTAGTTACTATGTATGTTTTCCTTTCTAGTCCCTGTGTGAGGGAATGCGGATTTTGGGTTGTGTGAAAGAGGTGAATGAACTGGAACTGGTGATCAGTCTTCCCAATGGCCTCCAAGGGTTTGTGCAAGTGACTGAAATCTGTGATGCCTACACTCAGAAGCTGAACGAGCAGGTGGCCCAAGAAGAGCCTCTGGAAGTAAGGGGTGTTTGGGTGAAACTTGCCCCTGGAATTAGAATAGAAATGTTGAGAAAAGAAAATGCAGGTGCCGTGGAAACCATTGTTTTTTTTGTGTTTCATATTTATTTTGTGCGGGTGTGCACATGCCATATCACACATGGGGGTCAGAGGGACAGCCTGTGAGGTTCGGGTCTCTTTCCACCATGTGGGTTCCTGGGAGCCAACATAAGTCCTCAGGCATGTTCAGCAAGCATTCTTACCTGCTGATCCAACTTGCTGACCCAGGGGTTGTATTTTTTTAAACAATACAGGGATTTTTTTTTTAAAGATTTATTTATTTATTATATATACACTGTATTCTGCAGTTGTGAGCCACCATGTGGTTTCTGGGAATTGAACTCAGGACCT